GTAGCAATCACAGAAGTTTCATCTAAACAATGAGAAAATTTTAAAAATCATTAAAAATTATTCTTACATGGAAGCTAAAAATAGTTTACATAAATTTGCTTTATCCTTTTTTTAATAATCATACAATTTACATAATTGATTTTCATTTTTAGACTTACTTATTCGTTTATATTGCATCTTAAATGTTGTATTGTATCTGGTATCATGTATTTTATTCTACATTTTATTATTAAAAAATTTGTAAAACTTTAAATCGAAGAAAATTTCTGTCTTTTACTTTGTCTATCAGTACTTAACTTTCATGGAAAAATCATCTCTTTTATGCGACAATCTTCTTCTCTTCGTATTAACAAATACGAATCAAAAGTTAAATTAATAATAACTCTAATCATCTAATTAACGATGATCAGAAATTAATCCGTGAATTTATTTCATTTATAGATTTAATGTGTCTATCATAGGAAGAATAAAAGTAAAATATCTTACCCGTAAAAAGATTTATAGCCGTTTTTGGTTGAATATTATGTAAACTAATTCCATATAAATTCGGATAATTTGTAGCAAGAAGAATGCGTTCCATTGATCGTGATTCAAGATGAAGCCATTCGATTTTTTCATGAATTTTAGGTAAAATATATGAGCAAAAACGACCAAGTATTAGATCAGGTAATGAATAAATCAAATCATCGGATGCAGACATCAGAATAGGTAAATCATTAGTAAAAACAGTGTCATGTGAAATTTTATTTAATCGTTTATTGACATCGAATAAAGAATAAAGTACTTCTACTTTAGCCAATTTTTTTAAAATAATCACAAGAATTTCATCAGGCAAATCATTCAATTGAACACATGAATTTTCCATGTTCATCTATAGATATTGTGCTCATATTATAAATGTCAGTATTTATATCGACATACTCAACTGTTCTATCTGACCGATATCGTCTATATAAACAAAGACACTTTTTTCTGTAATCTAAATTGACAATGAGCGAATGAATAACCGATTGAATAATATTTTTTTTCTCTCTGTTCTTTGAACTGAAGGAAGAATCATACGCAAAAAAAAATAAATGCGCTGGTATGTAATCATCAATTGACCTATATATATATATATATATATATATATATATTTTTTTTAAACGAATACCTCTTCATCAAATTAAACTTCGTAAACATTAACAACAGTCATAGAATCTGGAGAAAGTGTTAATTTATATCCATCAAAGTAATTTCTAACCGACTATTTCTAATATCTACAAAATAACATAACAAAAGAAAACCACATAGCTTACTTTCGAACAATTAAATTCGTCAAATAAAAGAATTCAGGTGATTTCCGTGAATCTGTTACTGTACGTTTCATTTTAATTGTTATTCGTTCATCAGTCACTGGATGTTTAGCAGACGCAAGTGTTTCCTGAAATACAAAAAGTAAAATTTTAATTTTTTAATAAATAAAAATTACTGTTTCAAAATCTTCAAACGAATAAAGAATAGTTCCATCAAAAGCTACATCTTTAATTTCAGCTTTAGTCAATATTTCTCGACGAACTTTCTTTAATTCAATCTATAATATATTAATAAAGTTTATCTTTATAAGATAATAATAAAATTCTTTACATCAAAATTGAATGTACAATAATATCGATATAAATCTTCTAAGAAAATACCAATCATTAGAAATAGAAAACCAATATAAAAACTACACATTTCGGAGCAGCTCAAATGTTGACATAATGGGTAACAAGAGCAACTTGTCCATTTTCATCTTGTTTAGAGATGAGTTCTAATGAGCGAGTTTATGGAAATTTCGATATTATTGGATGATTGTCACTATCATCTGTTGCTGTAGATAAACTATCCAATTATGTTGTTGTCAATGATATTGTCGGAATAACTATAATCAAATTTTAATCAAAAGTCTTGATTTTATCAATGATGTTGAACTTGTCGCGCCTGTTATCACAATGCTACCTTCATCCGAAACGAAATCTATAGCAAAAAATCGAGCTAAAATTTGATAATTTGAGAGAAATAATTTACCTTGATGACGAGATAAAGTTGGTCGATTCATGCGACCACAAGATCGTGTACATTCTCTTGGATATATTTGTATCTAAAAATTAAAAAAAGTATTTTTGGAAAATGAGGATAATAATAATCTACCGAAGTCGAAAGTCAAAGTTGACCAAATTCTTTAATTAGTTATCTATCAATTATACATCAAGCGACATATATAGATAACCAATCGAAGTTGGGCCCCATCCTCAATCCCAATTCAATTTGTCTTATGATTCATCTTTTTTCCAGCTCTCGATCGATCTTTCTTCGTTCATGTATATATACACGTGACAAGATACATAGACAGTGATTATATTCTACAGTCAAATCAACAACAGCTCGTCGGATACAAAGTAACACGTCCGTTCACAATACATTTTTATGTAACGTTCGATTTTCTTTAGAAAAAAATGTTCAAATCAAAATTTACCTGTGTTTCAAATCCATCATCGAAATCAGATGATGATGAAAATGAACAACAAAGAAACAACGATGATGCGGAAAAAAGTGAAGTACGATTAAATACGACTTCAAATTCTTCTCCAACTCAAACAACATCTCCTGTACCATCACATACCGGTGGACTCTATATACCACCAGCTACACTTCGTCTATTAGATGTATGATTATTACAAATCATTAAAACATATTTCTATCTTTTTGTTCTTCTTGATTTAGACATCATCAGTTGATAAATCATCTGTTGAATACCAACGTACACAATGGGATGCTTTAGAAAGAAACATCAATCTTCTTGTTGATCAAGCAAATGAATCCAATATATGCCCCATCATTAATGAACTATTCAATGAATCAATTCGGATATCTCGTATCGAAGACAAAAGAGGTGGATGGTCTCTTATTTAATAATAGTGTTTCTGTCTCATAAGCAAAATATGCATAGTTTCAGTCATTTTGTTTTTGCTATGTGTTTCGAATTAGGGTGTGCATGATACTCTATAAAGTAATTTTGTAGAAATGGAGCTCGAAAGAGTTCACTAAATCGCCCCTAGATGGGCTCCATACCTGAAATCTTCAAGATTCAAGTAGACCTCGGCGCTTCAGACACGAGCGACTCTGGTGTTCGTCAGAAGGAATTTACATGAAAACCGCGTTTTGTCGCGATATTTTATGCATCGGTATTCAGATTTACGCGGTTTCAGTTACCGTTGCTCAACGCATTATTTTTAATTTTTTTCCCTGGGAAGAATTTGCATTTTGACAACAATTGATAAAGGTAAATGCAACGGAAGCTCAAAACATCATTTGAAATAGTAGAGAAAATAGACGAAGAGATTAATTTTATGCTCGTTTATATTTGTAATTACAAAAATAAGAATATTATCATGAAATTAATATTATTGCCAATACTCGACGACAAAAACGTCTGGTTGAGTTCAATTATGTGTCAAATTGTGGTGAACACTCGAACTGTTGATTTCATTTTCTGATCTTGTAAATACGAGAGCAATAAAAAAATATTCAATTGACATGTTTTCATCTAGAGCTGAATAACATACTTGATCATCAAGCGCTCTAAAGGAAGAGTACCAGATAAGACTAAATTTCTACAATTGAAATATTTTAGTTTTTTTGATGATGATATCAATTCAATGATGAGTTTCACTAACATTGAAAAGGTTCACTTTGCTGGTTTCAATAAAATTCATATTCTTTTGATACACAAATTTCTTTCGATATCTACTAGTGTTTGCTAATTGTAATTTAATTTTTTTTCTCTAGTGTTTTATTCATGTTTTATTTCAATAACACATTAACAATAATCAGTCTATTTGCGTATGAGGAAAATAGTCTTTTATATGTTTACGAAATAGTTCTTTTCCGGTAGAAAAATCATCGGAATATTCAGGAAATTTCATTTGTTTACGTAAATTTGCGAAATTAATTTTCGCACAATTACTTCGTGTTGTATTACTTGTGAAATTGTGTGTCACTTGTTTGACTAGTCCATACTGCATATTAACACGAACGTTAAATGGTAAAGACGTTTTAGTATCGAATAAAAATTGTTCATGGTAATCTATGCAAGTATTATTAAGAAAAAGTTGTTTAAGAGAAGGATATTTAATGATTGATAATTTTTTTGATTTTTCAATTGGTTTATTAATTTGTTGTTTTTGATTACGTACAAATAATTCTTCTATCAATGGAAATGATTCAGCAATTCGGAGGAAAAATTCATGTTCAAAAGGGCGTTCATCATATAATGATATGCTACGAACATATTTAAATATTTTACCTGGAAAATGATTCGTTATATCATCATAATATTTCCATTTATATGGATATGAGTAAATACGACAATGACCCTTTCTTCTTTCTGGAAAATAATCAGCCCAATAGATAATTTCTTTATTGTTAAAATCTCTAAATGTCTTTTGAATATCTTCATTTGATGGTAAATTAATTTCATTATATAAACTACTTAATGAACAAATATTAAATGTGAATTTGTTTAATTGTGGCATATAATTAATAATATTCATCTTCAAATCATTACCATCAAAAAATGTTTTTCTTTCAATAACATTCATGTACAAATCAAGTTTTTCTAAATTTGGCATTCGATGTAAAAGCGGTACAACTAATTCATCATAAGCAGATGTAATCGTATCAGAGTGTAGCCAAAAGCATTTTAAAGTAGGTAGCTTTTTCTAGAAAAAAAGCCAATATTATTTATTCATTTAAATTAAATATTAATTAAAATAATCTACCATACTGATGTTTCTTATATCCGAAGAAAAAATCAAATCCACATCAATATAAAGTGTCTGAAGTTGATTGAAATGTCCATTAAGTAAATAAAGACAATCATGAAAGCTTTTCAAGCAGACATGTAATTCTAACAAATTTGTAGAGAAAACAGTTGAAGGTATAATACAAAAGAATAATCGTTCATCGTAAACTGAAGACCGACCAAAGTTTAAATATTGTAAATTAGCGAACATAGTAAATATATGATTAAGTATAATTGCGTTACCGTCTGATGGAGAATATTTTAATCCCTGTGTACTAATGTCGATAGTTAATGATAAAACTTGATTTCTAACCGTAGCAATCACAGAAGTTTCATCTAAACAATGAGAAAATTTTAAAAATCATTAAAAATTATTCTTACATGGAAGCTAAAAATAGTTTACATAAATTTGCTTTATCCTTTTTTTAATAATCA